GGCCGCCCTTCCAAGTGCATCACTCCACTCGGCTCCACAGGCCCTCGGCTCCGCCATCCTGCCCCTCGTCTTCCCGCAGAGATGGGGAAGCCTGCAGAGTTCCGATCAGACTGGGACCGCTAGTGGGTTCCACTGTCCTCTCCGGCAAATGATTTAAGCAGAAAAAAAGTCCCTGAGACCTCCACAATCTCTGACCAACTGCCCTCCTGAAGGTCCCAGCGCCGCCCTTTGAAGAGAACAGAAACCCTTTAGACGTGAGCACCCCGTCGCTGCACGGGTAATACTCCATTATAAGGAGCTGAGCCCCTTTAAGACGGATGAAAAAGCATTCGGCCAAGACTTACTGTCTGAATCCTTAGTGTCGAGGATGCCGCCCGAACTCAGAACATAAGACACGGCTGAGAAACTCCGGGAACCCACAGCGTGACCACAACCACCCCCGCAACAAGCCCACGCGTGTGTCTCTCACACAAAGACCCGCAGCAAGTGTTCCTGGAACTCAGGTGAAGGGGATTCCTGACCACAAGCAGAAAGCAGGGCGCTGGACGCAAGTGGGAAAGGACTGACCATTCCACAGCCCTGTGTGTGCGGTGGGCCATGGGGTGGGCAGGAGGAGCGAAGCTGGGAAGAGCTGGGAGTCCAGGTGGCTGCTGGGAGTCCTCCTCAGCACCGGGACAACCTGCACGTCCGCGCTGCTCCACAGTCAACAGAATAATGCCATCTATTTCATCTCCCCGGGTGCACAGGCCGGGCATCGCTGCTCCCAGGGGCACACACACGAACCGAAGTGTGGGCAATCACACAGTGAGTGGGTGGCGGATTAAGGCGTGAACGCAGGCAGGCTCAGGCCCCTGAGCCCGGCCCTCTGTCCCAGGCGCCGAGAGGCCGTGAGTGGTAAGGCACAGCACGCATGCAGGGTCCGCGCGGTGTGGGCCGGACCGCCAGACACCAGCCTTGCTCAGGGGGTGGGACAAGACAGGGCTCTAGGCCGGGGGTTCTCGGTCTCCCCACCAGAAGTCCTGGGAGAGACCTTAAAACGCCCATGCCCACGCCCAGCTCCAGACCGCTCGCCTTCCTTGGTCTGGGATCCTGGCTGTGGAATTTCATAAAGCATCTCAGGTAACCTCCGAGCGGCTCAGGTGGGCCCCGCAGCTGGAGGGGCCCATGTGGACTTGCACTTGGCTCAGGCTGTGTCCTCGTCTTCCCAGACCGAGAGCAAAGTCTTTGCCTGGTCCAAGTCCCTGCGCAGTCTGGGCCACCTAACCGCTGACAGGTGCATGCTCTGGACTTGTTCTGCATGACCTGCTGGCTATTCAGAACTCTGTAATTCACACAAAAAGAAAAGCTAACAGTGGTGAGTGCAAAATGCAGAAGCACCCAGGCAGACGGCAGAGAGCCGCCCCGGGAGCCGGCTGCCCAGGTGGCCTTGGCAAAGTCCCGCGGCTGAGATTATTCCTTGGCAGTAGCTAACACTCCAATACGTGGTTCCAAACGGATTAGCTCCAAGCTCCAAGTGAAAATGCAATGGTATTTTAGAAGAGAGTTTTTAAGCATAATCCCAGATCAGCAAGCCTGGATCAGCAAAACTGATTATCCTGCCGTACAAAAAAAAATAAAATTAAAGGGAAAAAACCCCACCCAGTATGTTGGTGGGAGCTTTTCCCATTTATGGAATAGATACAGCAACAACTCCTACCTCCATCCTCTTGCACCGCGCCCCGCCCCGCCCAGAACGTTCGCGAACACGGATCGTGCGGGCACAGTGAGGCAGGACAGCGAATTCAGAGAAGACTGGGGCCGAGGACGGAGGCACGTCTGGTGATCACTGTGTAACTGAAACCACCTAATAGCACCAGCGGACCACACTGTGTGTCCTGGGCACCTTTCCTGACGTGGGCGATGATTCAGACGCAGGACTTCTAGACACTTGTCATATCTAATCTAATGGAAAGGCACAGAACATTTTTAACCCAACAGCAGATAATTGTAATGAAATGATTCTGGCCAAGAGGGCCCATTTGTAATAATGAATTCAAATCAGATTCATAGAAGCCACAATTCAGACACAGTGAATACCACGTTCATATTCCATATCATCTCTCTCTCAAGAAGGCAAAATAACTCAATATTCACATAATTATTTTCACTCTTCAAGTAGCCCTGTGAAGTAGTTGTGAGGAAGGTAACACTGCCTCACTTATATAAAATGAGTTTCATCCACGTTCAAAACTTCAGGGACGTCTTCCCTAACGTCCTCAGAGCATCAAAGACTCATCACAACAAGACACGTCTCACGGAAGGAGACCATCCTTCTCCGAGCCGGGCAAGTTCTCACTGGAAGTTTCCAAGGAAGCCCCAGCTTCCTCAGCTCCTTCGCTTCTGCCAGCAGGTCTCTGGCCTCCTACGCGACTTCCTCCAAGATTCAGACACAGGCTTGGGGTACGCTGATCCAGGAAAGCCACGTTTGAAAGGACTTTCCGTGGCTGATGCTCCTGGGGGCCACTCCAGTTTTTCAGTGCATTCTGGACATCTGATGCATTCTGAACACTAAATTCCCAAACACCGGGTTCCCAGTGACACGCCTTCTGGGAGACTAGGAGTGACTACGGTTAAGGATCACAATTTTTCAAAAGCCAATAATGACACAAATGATACATCCATCTGGGGTGGAGGCTCAGATGTCCAGGGACTCCCCTCTGAGTCCTGACAAACCTGGTCCTCACTGAGCCAGGCCTGCTGACCCGAAGGGGCCTGGATGAAGGAAGGGGACACTGAGACCCCAGAAATCTTCAGGAGCGACTCATGTCATTTCAAAAAACATTGTGATAGTAATGGAGTCAGAACCGTAGAAAGAAAAATCAGGGGGAAATGAGAGTTAAGTAATGAAGGCAAAAAAATTTTAAAAAGAGGGAGAGAATGAAAAACAGACAGAAGCACATAAAACAGAGGCACCTGATAAAAACGAAAGGAAACGGAACAAAAGAGAAGAACGCGAGTGGTAAAGGGAGGAGGGCAGAGAAGGACTAAGATGTGGACGAGGCACTGCATGTCTCCATTTCAGGGCAAATTACCCAGGAGCGGAGAGGCAAAACCAACACAACAAGGGCTTTCGATTTGAAAAATGAAGCGTGCCATCAGGTAACAGATAACATAGTCGAACATGCAAGGCTTTTTTTTCCCCTCCACAAAGCACAAAAAGCAACTATTCAGCTCTTCCCTTTTTTATTCGCATTCCCATTACGAAGCCCAGCTGCTAAACATTAGAATTGAAGATCATGAAAACAGGCCAGCAGCTAATAAAAAAAAAAAAAAAATAAAAAAAAAGCCAGAGCAAAGCTGGCCCTCTGCTGGTGGAATCGTCTGACTGCACCCCAGAAAGCAGAAAGCTCCAGTTTTCAAGTTTCCGGTGTAACTTTCAGGGGGCAAGGAATGGACAGGGGATGTTGGAAAGATCTGCACTGAGGCCTTATTCCATGCTGGGCCCCTCTGCCCCTCTGAAGACAGGTGCAGGCAGCGCCAGCGTCCCTGAACACCTACCTACCGGCACTCCCCAACATTTCCTCATCAGCGTGCGCCGTGGCCCCGGGGCTGCGCCTCTCTGAGCAGACTGGTCCACTGCACGTGTGCCTCTCAGGGCACGGACCCCGGGGCTCCTCTGAGGCAAGGAAGTAGGCCCGTCACACTCCCTCTGGTCTGGGCAGGCCAAGCAAGTGGCCGGGAGAGCTTCCCTCCTGCTGCCGGGGAAGGGAGTCTGTCCCCATCTCCTTTTCTCCCTCCCCTCCCAGGGCCCCCCACACCAGCAGACAGGGTGCTAGGACTCCTCCTCTGGCTCAAAGGAAGATTCAGCTGAGGCAGGAATCAACCTTAACACCCGGGCTTAGGAAGGAGGAGCAGGGGCCCCAAGAAGCCCCACTCCCCTTCCCCAGGGGAGAGGCTGGTCTAGATGGGGAGCATTCAAGCAGCAGAGCCACGGGGAGAACAGGACGGGAGCCCCACCCTCACGCGCTCCTGGGAGAAGCCAGGCTTCTTGGCTGCAGAATCTGGGGCACGATGTTTTATTTCCACCGTAACCATCAAAGTCACGGACAGGGCAAATGCATTCACCCTGTGTACACCGTGAGCAGAGTTAAGCTGGGACGTCTCCGCATCTGTCTCCGAGGCCCAGAACTGCCTCATTAAAGGGATAAAAGATGATATCTGCTGAGCTGGTGGAAAGTGGTGGCTGCATTTTTATTAAAATCTCTGCTGCAGCAGGCGGGGTCCCCAAAGGTCCATATTCCAAGAACCGCCACCCCTCTGCCTGCAGCATGTGCGCGATTCCCTGTGACTCATTAAAGTGAACCAGAAAGCCTTCCCGCTGTGTTTCTCACACAGGAGCGTTGTCGTGGCACAAAAGCCGCGTGTTTCGTCCCCACCGCCCGAGCCCGCAAAGATGAAACTGCCCTCGTGATTTACAACGGGGGCCCCGGAGCGCCACGCGGGGTTGGCACGGATGGCTGTCTCTTAACAGACTCATAAAGGGCCATGGCCCAGCGCCGGCGATTCCGCAGCCGGAAATTTCGGGCCTGTCTCTGGCAGAGGCGGGCCGGCCCCCCGGGAGGACCCCCCTGCCTCATCGCATAGGCTCCCGACCGACTGGGAGAGCCACCAAGGCACCAGCGACCGCAGCCTAAGCCCCCAGAGTTTCAGTGCCGGGCTCCCCTGCTCTCATCCCGGGGCGGAGGCAGAACAGTCTGGACACATCGCAGCCTCACAGCTAGACGAGTCCCGCGGATGGACCTCAGGGCCCGCTCTTACGATCTGGGACCACGGAAATGACGAAGCCGCCCAGGACAATGGGTGGCAGCTGCTGCAGAAGGCCAAGCGGGCACCTCCGGGGCCTCCGGAGGCCCTTCGCGGGCTCCAGCCCCCCACGCAAGCCTGCGGGTCTCTCGCGCGCGCCCCTCCCCACGCAATCACATCCGAGGGGCGCAGGCCCCCGCCGAAGTACGGCTCCCTACCTGAGGGTGGCGCTCTCCCCCTGCCGGACCGTCACGTTGTCCATAGCTTTGGGGAAGGTGGCATCTCCGCTGCGCACGGGCACTCCTGTGGGTACAAGGAACAGCAGCCTGAGAGACACGACCACGAGGCACTTCCAGGGCAGGAACAGGTACCCACAGACCCCCATCCTCGACAGCCACAACTTCCCGGAACTCCGGCAGCGGCTCGCGGCTCCTCCCCGCCCCGCACACCGGCGGGGCTGGGCAGCGGTGCGGGGAGGGAGGGGAGGGCTGGAGCGAGCCCGCAGCAGAGAGGGGCCCGGAGAAGCAGTCCAGGCGCTCCGAGTCTAACGATTCCGCCTCAAATCCTGCCTCAGCTTTCCAGCCCCGCGGCGCCAGATGCCCCCTCCTGCATCCAAAAAGAGCTTTCTTGACGCTCCCCTGGGGAGGCGGGAGGCAGCCGGGAAGGGAGAGGAAGCAGGAAGGTGCCGGGGTGAAGGTCACGGACTGCTCTCTCTCTGCCTCTCTTCGAGATGCCACTGTAACATTCAGCTGGGCACGTCCTGCCGAGGTCTGGCATCAAAAGTTTATAACCGAAAGAAGCCAGGCAAGTGTCTCTGGCACCAAGGAGATGTCATAAAAAGCTGCCGCTTCAAGGAGAGAAGGAAGTGTTTTATTAGCTGACACATATGTACAGATGTATTTAGAAACCAGCCCGAGCCTCCAATCTGGAACGCGAAGGCGGTAAAAAGTTCCACCGCGGGGACCCGCAGCCGGCCGAGCCCGGGGATCCTCCGGTGCGGAGCCGTGGCGTCCTCGCCGCAGCCGGGGCGGCGACTGGCGGCCAGCCTGGCCCACGGAGCGCCGGCGGCGCAGGCTCGGGGCGCACGGGGAGCGGGCGGAC